ATGGAACACTCGCAGCGAACGTGGGGAGCTGCTTCGATTCGTCGGATGAGCTGGCAACGACAAGCTGACAAGCAGTGTGACTGGAGTGGACACGGCGAGTGTGGAATGGACACGTGCCATCATATCCTTCCATAAACCCTTGCAGCTCTTCCTGCTGCAAGCAGTCATTGACTGAGCTGCTGAGACATACCGGCTGCTGAATTCACGATTCAATTCAGCATCGAACAGCGAACAGTCATAGCTTGGTGGTGTGATGGAAGTGGCCCAACCAGGAAAGCACAAGTAACTTGCACCAACACCATACCCCACACAAACACCACGATCGTCAGTCTCAGAACCTGGCCCCGCATTGGAACGGAAATGCTGGTAAAGCCAAGCAAGGCAAAGGGTTCGAACAGATCTGCACCGATCCCGCGCAGGAACCGCTGCTGCTCCGACTGTTGCTTGCTTGCTTGCTTTCGTGGCTACCCTCGAAGCCGGGCCGCGTCGAGGCCAAGACGGCCAAAGCAGCTTCCCAGCTGCCTCCGCAGCAGGCATAGACAGCACCTCCGGAATCAAAAACACAACGCAACCAAGTGTCGATGACTTTGAGATGTTGAGGCAGAGGCACTGTTGCATGCCACCGTGTTGATGGGCACCTGCGCTGAAAATACCGAATCGGAGTTGGTGCAGCAGATCGCCGGACAAAGTCATGGCCTCCTATCCCTAGTATAGAACAAGTGAAACACGTATCTGCGCTCGGACAAGACCTAATTACATATTGGCGCACCTGCATGTCAGGCATCAGGATGAGAAAGTCCAGGGCGTGCTGCCAAAGAGTGACATCCTAACTTTTCCCCAGCAACAACATCCACAGTCACCTCCTGCTCATGTGCCACTGCAGCAGCACCACAACAAGCCAAGAGACGGCACAAGTGCGAATAGCCGCAGTGCAACTCTTAGCATCCTGGCACCAGCAAACACAGAGGGCGGAAGTGTTGCTATAAAGCCCTGCAAGCAATGGAATCATAGTATGGCACCCATGGCATGACGGCCGAGTCGTGACAAGCTCTAGAATCTAGAAACAGTCGACCATAACTGTCTTCCAAACTATTACCGAGAAGCCGGTGGCACTTCCACATTTACCATCTCGCTCAGCAGCTCCTGCAAGGTCTATGGCTTAGCTGGGTTCGCTGAAGCCTCCAAACCAACTTCTCAAGCCCAGCCTATCCAAGAAACTGTGTGCTTAACTTTTAGACCTCGAGTTGCCCAATTGCACTTGAAGCACACCACATGGCAACCTCACATCCTAAGACGCCAATGTCAGAGCCTGCGCGAGCCTAAAAGTATAAGCCCTTCAGTGTCTACGACGGTGCAAACGCTGAGGCTTGCAATGACGACAGCAATAACAACAGCAATAGCAACAGAGAGTTATTGTCATTGCCATTGAGGATTGATTGACCATCGCAGGCTAAGATGCCAGCAAACAACAACCCCACGCAACTAAACCCAAGTGAGAGCGAGCATCCCAAAATACAGGACAGCCGGCCTGACAACTGTTGCAAGGAAGAACATGACATGGATGACCGCACCGGTGGCGAGACCACCATGCTTTCACCAACCCCACCGGGACAAACAACGCCGCGGTGAGAGGAGTGCCACCAGACAAACTGGTAGCACCAGAGGGGATACCACCGTGGTGTCACAAACCCCAGCCAGCAGCAGTTTCACGATCGCTCCAGGAAATAGATGACAGCGTGATGACAGCAGCGGGGATACCACCGCGGTTTCACAAACTGACCCAGGGGTCCCAGTCAGCAGCCGTTTGAAGAGAGAAGACCACCCCTGGGCCGAGGGGGCAGTAGCTTGCAAGAGGCAGAAGCTAGGAGCAAGCTGAGCAGGCCCTGTCTCCTTAGCCACATCTGGGCGACTGCCGCGTAAGCAGCATTGCAAAGCCTGTCTTTAACTTTGAGGGCAGAGGTTGCAGGCATCCGATAGGGCCCTCGACAGCAATTACGTTTCCCAATATTGCCACAACATCGTAAGCAGATGGTCTTGTCTAATTTGACTGTCCGTAAACATTTGACACCTGCATGATGAGTCCACTTTTCCTCCCAGTGACATTTCGCAAGCTGTTTCGAGTACGGTACAGGACTACCATGACTCCCTTTTCCTTTAGGATGTGCCCAAATGAAACAATAGCATTGTTTGCGGCTAGGGTCTGGATTGGTGTCCGAAGACTTGCAGTGTACCATCGAACAGAAGCCCAACAATACGCAACCCGAATGCTGACACGAAGCCCAGGTGTAAGACACGACGTTGGGGTCGCAGCTGGCCTCAGAAAGCACAGCATTGTCCGAAGATCTCAGCAAAACTGCAGACCTTGTCAACTTGAACATTAAACAGAGAACCTTACAAGTCAAAAGCTGGCCTAACAGTGAGCAGACGTCCAACTGCTAAGCTGCCTCTGGCATGGCCCGCCACAGCAGCTGAAGTGCTTCTGACCACCTTGGTCAGAAATGGTGCTACTGAATCCCACATTGCTTTGCCAGCTTCCTGCAAGTCATAAACCATGAAACGGTACAAGTACGCAGAGCCTGTGGCCGTACATTGCATGTACTGTCACACCGACGAATGACAGAACATATTCACCGTTCTCAGAAAATGGACATTTCGATGGACTCACAAGCTCTACGTCACAGACATTTACGCCAAGGTCTTAAGCCAAGCCGTTGTAACTATCTCCTATACAAGGCCCGGGTGCGTGAACCGAGTAAATTTTTTCGACCTTCGGACCAAGCCTCATGTCTTTCCAAGGCTTACCTAAGCGAAAGCTCATTTGCCCCGTCAGGCGTCGTGCCCCCACAAGCTCTGATCCGGTAGTTGAACTCCCGGGTTGTCGAAGCCACCTTTCCAAGCGACACCGGTTCTGCTCCCGTAAACATCTTTGCCATGACACCTGGTTACTAATCAATCCTGCTATGACTACTGTGCCACGATGATTTTCAAAGCTCCGGCCATCGTTGAGCCGTTAAAGCGTCTGTGAGCACAACGCCGACCACCTTCAAAAAAAACATGACCAAGACAACGACTTTCACCACGACCACGACGGCGAACACGACAAACACACAACGGCCAAAACGACGACAACGAACACGAAGACCACGACGACAACGACGCCGGCTAATCGAAGAGTCTTGCGCTTTGGCCTTCCGCTCTCGCAGCAATGGCAGAGGTAAGTGTTCAGACCTCCTCGAATTCCAGCGGAAAGTGGGTGTCTTTCCCAATTCTTAAAGTCTTATAGAGAATCTACAGGCGTCTGATAACTGAGTTCTGTCATTTGCTCTGCTTCCCACTTGATCGGGCTTGATGCACAAATGAATTGTCCCACTTCTGGACCGCTAGCCGATCCTGCCGCCCTCAACCCGCCGCCCCCCCCCCCCCCCCCCCGGTGATTCTAGTGTTTGGGGCGCGGCATGATCACATCCGATCGGCCGAAGCATGCACATGGTTCTTATCGTCGCTGCGAACGCAAACAACCCAAGTTTCCACGAAACAATAGCTCAGCAACAGTCGGGCTTTGCATCAACATCAGTGGTGCTGCCCTCGTCGTCATCACAGTCGTAAGCATGAACAGCCGCCTCTTGCTCACCATCGTTTTCATGATGGTCAACCTCATCTTGTGCTTCCTCGTGGTCATCACACTCAGGTTCGCCACTGGCCCACTATTCCTGTGAGCAGTAGTATCACAAACGACCACACCTCTACAGACGACGACTACTGGCATGCCATCCTGTAATACTAAAAAAAAGCCCACTACAATTTTTGCCCCTTCTAGCTCCGGCCTCTGTCGGCCAGGGCTCCATGGCTCCGCACGCAATTTTCTAGCCGGGGGGAAGTGATGATGCCGAAGTATGTCGGCTTGAAAACTGGGTAACTAGGGACTTCAGGCCCAGCACCCTGGCATTGCAGACATGTCTTCTGGATCCCGGAACTCACATGACTCACATGCCACCCTTCTGACAGATAAAGCTCCCGTGGTTTTGGATTCCAAGCACGAGTTGAAGTTGACGGACTGCGAATCTGCATACTACACCCTTAGCCTGAATCCAACCCAAGTCCAACTACAACTGTTGAGAGTCCATGCGTCACTACTCATTCACCAACCAGGCCGCAGTTGACTTGTCCTTGCAAAACAAAGAAGCAAAGACAAACGCTTCAGCCTTAGCCTTGCGCACTGCGGCTGAGGATCAGAGCAAAATGAAGGGAGACACTGCACTGCTCTCTGCCGTGCGAGAGCTTTCCTGTCATAGCATGCAACCCCAAGCCGGCCTCGCCCAAATCCTAGCACCCGCAGCGATGATTTGCCAGTGCTGGCGATACGGCTGCCCGATTGAACAGAAACACTGCGCCCTTTTCGTTCCCTTCGTTTGGCGAGCTGCAGCAGCAGTCTGGATGTCGGCATTCGCACGTTCATCCGGATGACCTGGAACGTACCGCTTGGCTCTTAGGCTTCGTGCATTGTGAAGCTCAGGTTCCTGAGTCACTCCTGAATTGGCTGCAATCATTGCAGGAAACGATGGAAAGAGGACAAGACCATGTCAAATCGCCTCCCTGCAGGAACAGTCTCTTCCGGAAGCGCGCGGGTCAAATCAGCTTACCCGTCTTTGAAGATCAACCTATCACGTCAGCGATGATCCGAGACTTCTCCCTGGAGGATGATGCCTCTAGCCACAGGCTCAGGCTGGACCCATCGCATCCCAAACCGGACAGGATTCGCTTGTAGGGTAAACTCCAGAAAGCTGGACTCTTCCAAGGGATTCCGAGCCTCTGTCTCTGAATATTTCTGGAACAGACGAAGGGCGACATACCCTGGCCGACTCGTCGGCCGGGAACATCGAAAGTTCTTTTTGTCGGGCCTCCTTGCCCACTATCTGCAAGATATGTCCTACTAACTGAATACTGCTTCTTTGAAGCTTTTCTGAGGCAGCCATAAAAAGCGAGCTGGTGCTCCACACAGCTCAAGCTTGGCTTGCAACGGATAGCTGAGGGTCTGCTTTGCTTCGACGGACCCTGTAGTACACGCAGCACCCTGAAACACCACAAAGGCACAGCATTGTGGTCATTGCGGCGTATGTCGCCACAAAAACCCAGGGGGAATTGGGAGGAGTGGGGTTATCCAGGATCCCAAACGCAGGAAGTGCCAAGAGTAACTTCAGCTCCAGGTCGGTCAAAGATTGGAGCATTGCTTCGATGTTTTGGCTCTGCGTCTCTGTCTTGAAGATGCCCCAAGCCGCGTCGATCTGCTTCCAGTGCTGCTTCAGGTCGTCTCGCTCCGGAATGATTTCCGACACGGCCCCGTCCTGACTGCCATCACGGAGGACAAGGTGCATGCCTTCAAACTCCTCGATGGCCTGTGCCAAGCCACCCCCTGACGCCGCCACGGCCGCGGCCAATGTTTGTGCTGCCAAGGCCCTCTGCCAGTTCAAGAGCTCCACCCTTGCTCTCGGCCATTCCGGGTAGGCTGCCTCAGCCTCGTCTGCATACCTGCCAGCCAATGCCCGGGCCGCCTCGCACACGCCAGCGACCTTGTTGGCGGCCACCGTGCTAGAAGGCTCAATGGAATCCATGACATCGCGAAAGTCGTTGACGGCGCTTTCCACTTGCAAGGCAAAGTTGTAGCACGTCTGGGTGGGGGGTGCAGGCAGATGAGGGTGTAGGTAGCCCAGCATGAGCTTCTCGAAGGACTTCGTGGCATCTGCGAGCTTCTCCTCCAAGGAGTCCGGGAAATCTCCGCGAACGAAGAAGCTAAACGCCTGGTTCGTCAAAACCTCGGTAAGTGAACAAAGATGCGGGTTGCATGCTGCTGGTATGCTTCTGTAACTTTGGACTGAAACACTCTGTCGTACAGGGTCCGAGTTTGAGCTTAACTGCTTAGCGGCATTAAGGGCACAGTACGCCACGATCCCTTGCCGCTTGCCCTCTTCTCATTCCCGCAAAAGTAGCATGTTAACTGATGACAAGGGTTGAGGCTCCCACGTTCGTAGCCGCCCCGAGGAGTCTGCTCTCTCTCTCTCTCTCTCATCTGCTGCTTCAGCAAACTATAATTACAGAACGGGCCACCCTGGGAG